GCTTGCTCAGCCCAGCGCACTCTGACGAGAGTCTCCATCTTCCAGCAGCCCACACTTAACAACCCTGCCTGGCCCCTCCTCAATCCTTTGCTCCCCAGCTCATCCAGCCGTCCGTCCGTCTTCCTGCAGCTGCCTCCCTCTGGGCAGAATCGAACTCTTTAGTAACTAATATCTAAAGGTTTATTAATAGAGAAAAGAAGACAAGCCGTAAACATGGTTACTAGCTCATATGCATACAATAATGGCAATGTTCTTGGATCAGGTCTGTAGCAGTGATGAAATAGACGGCTGGCTTGTAAAGTCTCATAGCCAATTTCCAAAAGATTGGATGGTCCTCAGTCCATAGTTCAAATGATCCTTGTAGCTGTAAATCCAGTCCAGAGAATCAGAGCAGGAAATGAAGACAAATTGGAGATGTCTCAGGGGTCTTTGATAGCCTCTGCCATGTGCTGGGAATTTTACTGTCCCAAACAAAGCCCACAGGCACAGTGTGTGGAAAATTACTGGCCCAAGATGGAGTCCAGGGTCACATGACCTTACACGCCTTGCTGACTCACAGCGGCAGCCATTACCCGGATTCTGGCTGGGGAGTCCACAGGAAGGCTCACCTGGCGGGACCAGCTCCCTCTATGGTTAGGGGAGTGTCCTTTAATGGGCCATCGAACTCGAATAGTCCATTCACATTGTGCTGGCTAGACTGGATGTAAAGTGCCTGGGCGGTGTTACCCCAGGAACAAAGACAATGGCTAAGGGCTTGTCTACACGTACATTTTATAGCGCTCTAACTTGCTGGCTCAGTGGCAGGGGCGACTCTAGCTTTTCTGCCGCCCCAAGCACGGCTGTCAGGCGGCTTTCAGCGGCACACCTGCGGGAGGTCTGCCGGTCCAGCGGCTTCGACGTACCCGCTGCCGAATTGCTGGCAAAGCCGCGGGACCACGGACCTCCCACAGGCATGCTGCCGAAGGCTGCCTGACTGCCGCCCTCGCAGGGACCGGCAGGCTGCCCCCCACGGCTTACCGCCCCAGGCATGCGCTTGGGGCGCTGGTGCCTGGAGTCGCCGCTGCTCAGGGGCTGAAAAATCACCCCCCTGAGCACAGCAAGTCTGTGCGCTTTAAAGCGCTAGTGTAGACAGGCTCCCGGCGCTTGGAGCGACTCCCCTCGTGGAGGTGGATTACCAGGAGCGCTGGGAGAGCTCTCTCCCAGCGCACAACCCCACTCGCACACTCGCACTCGCACATCAAAGCGCTGTCGTGGGAGCGCTCAGGTGGCAGCGCTTTGAACTCTCTAGTGTAGCCGTAGCCTGAGTCGACACTTAGCAGCTTAAAGCGCCTTAAAGGGACGGTGTGGTCGCGCTCTCTGGTGGTTTGTCTGAGTGGGTCTGGTCTGAGGTGAACACACTGACACACAACGCAGAGCACACAAAGGAGCCTCAGGCCCAGTTCCCTAAAGTTGTGTAAAAGGTCACAAAGAGGCTTCCCCTATCTGGAACAACCTCATACTGGGCCAGTGAATGTGTGTGTGTGGGGGGGGGTGGTACACATATAAGCAGGATATCCATACTTAGCAATTCGCAACTTTTCCAGTGACACCGGACATGACGTACTTGGTACAAGTTCTCTTGCAGTTGTAGCACAGTGGCCACACCAATGCTATACACAGTCACAGGTCAATCACACAGCATCACAAGGGGGCAGTTTGTTCTCTCCTCTCCGAGCAGTTTGCAGCTGGCTCTCTCTCTCCCCAGCACCGGCCGTGGCGTGAGTGCAGGACGGTCAAAAAATGGCCATGTCTCCACCCAGAAGCGGGCCACCTGGAGGGAGGAACAGAACGGGAATGAGGCCCCTGCCTGGGACCCTGCGAATACACCAGGCTCAGTCCCCGGGAGCTAAACTCCCCACGCTGCCCAGGCCCTGCCATCCACAGAACAGACCCTGCCCCGAGAGGGGGAGAAACCACCCCCTGACCTCACCCAGGTGGGTGCTGGGTTCTGGGGGGCCCCAGAGCTCACTGTCTGCCCCGGGAATCCTGGGACATACCGAGCTCAGACCTGGCTGTAACTGCTCCAGGCTGGGTATCGGGGAAACAGCCCCCCCTGCCTCTGAGCTGTTCGTTAGCTCTTCCCTCCCCAGGCCAGAGAACCAGGCTGCCAGCGTGGTCAGGTACTGTCCACCCTGGGCGCTGATGGGGAGGGAGTGTGGAGAGCGGAGATATGTCCCACGCTGGCTGGTAAAGGGGAGAGTTTAACGTGTCTCTCCAGGGAACTGACTCAGGCGTCGCTGGGAAAGGGGGCGGGTGGGGACAGACAGGGCTGATCTCACACGAGACGCCCATGTCCCGGTTCTAGTATAAAATCCCACGCACCGAACGAGGACTGGGCCAGGCATCTCCATGGGCTTGTAATGTGCTTGTAACGGCCGAGCCCAGGGGGACCTGCTGTCAGGTGACGCTAGCTCCTCGACCCACTGTGAGGAGGGGATCACCAGCTGGCTCTTAAATGCTGGGGAATCCTTCCCTCCTTGGGGTAAAGGGGCGACCTCCCTGCCCTATCGCCTGCCCCAGGCTGCTGTGGGCGATGCTGCACACGCTGTATTTACGGCTCTACAAGGGTTTTCATTCTACACCTTTGCTAAAGTTCCTGTGAGGTTTGGCCCCCGAGGTGACTCGTGTAACGTCTGGGCAGGATCCCGGCAGCCGTTTGAGCCAGGGAGGAATGAAACCGAACAAACAAATCTCCGGCCCTGGTGTGAAAAGCTCCCAGCCCCACTGACCGGCGCAGGGCTGCCGCTGAAGGTGCTGACAATCTCCCCGCGCTCCGCGTTGAGCTGCGCACAGGCTAGGAGCTGTGTGTATGGGGGGGGGGGGCAGGAGCTCACAGGGACAGCTTGGTGGTGTATTGGCAGGGAGATGCGTGTGCCATTTGCAGTGTGTCCGTATCTGGCCGGGCACATCTACACAGCGGCCGGGAGGGGTCATTCCCAGCGGGGACAGACAGACACACTGGTGCTAAAAATAGCCGCGTGGCCGCGGGAGCTCAGGCTAGTCACCGGAGTACAGCCCTGCCTGGCCCCTGGGGGCGCACTCGGCGCTAGCCTGGCCCCCCACCCCCCCGCTGTGGCCACACGGCTATTGTCAGGCGGTAGCTGGAGCAGATTGAGTGCATGTCTGTTGAACCGGGCTGAGCATGGCACGTCCCAGCGGCTGGGCACACCCCTTCCAGGCCCCAGGAGCTCCCCTGCGAGGTGCCGAGTCTGTCACCGCCCCTGGAAACGTGTTGTGGGAGCATCAGGGGACGGCTCAGAGCCGCCCCAGAACCTGGCGCTTCCTGGCTTTGTAGGGTTCATGCTGGGAGGGGGGGTGGGGGAATCACACAGGACCAGCCTTCCTATCTCTTAAACAGATTGTAGACTAGGCTGATCTTCATAACCTGAGCCCAGGAGGTTGGGGCCAGGTGACACCTTCTGCCAGGGAAGCTGGGCAAAGGGGGAGGAGGAGTTGGGGGTGGGGTGTGGCTGCGGAAGGCAGGAAAAAGGGGTTTCAGTTTGGAGCTGGCTGGAGAGGGGGCGGGGGAGAGGCCAGAACCTGGGTCTGGGCTCCCCACCCCCCAAAATGGACCTGACTGAGGGGTCCTGTTCGCTGTACCTACAAGCTCTGTTTTAGACCGTGTTCCTGTCATCTAACGAACCTCTGTTTTACTGGCTGGCTGAGAGTCACATCTGACTGCGAAGTGGGGGTGCAGGTCTCATGGAGTATGGGGGGGACACAAGGCCCTGCACCCCCGACTTCCTGCGATTCACCATGACTCTCAGCCAGCCAGTAAAGCACAAGGTTTATTTAGACGACAGGAACACAGTCAAAGACAGGTCTTGCAGGCACAGACAACAGGACCCCCTCAGTTAGGTCCATCCTGGGGTCCCAGGGGCACCACAGGCCCATTGGGGGGGGGGGCAGAGCCCCGTCTGGGCTCCCTCCATTACCAGCCAGCTCCTGAAACTCTCCCTCTCCCCAGCGTCTCCTCCCCCAGCCTTTGTCCAGTTTCCCGGGCAAAGGTGTCACCTGGCCTCCAACCTTCCTGGGTTCTCATGTTACATGCTCAGGTATTCTCCCTCAAGGCCAGTCTCTCATCCCCCAATGCAGACTATCCTAGCCACACTCCCCTGCCTTCCCAGCCAACACTCCCCACTCAGCACTCAAAGACCACATTAAGAACAGTCCCAGTTCGTCACAGCAAGACCCTCTGGCTGCCCCAGGACCCCGCCTGGGCGGACTCGCTGTGGGAAGCGCACGGAGGGGCATATGCTGAATGCTCCCAGGTCAGACCCAGGAGGTGAAGCCGTGTGAGCTTCTTGCCCTGGAGACATTCTGCTCCGAGGGAGAGGAGGCTCCCCAAAGTCCTGACTGGCTTTGTGGGGAGCAGTTCCAGAGCATCGCCCAGGGACTCCGTGACACCCACTGCACCCCATATCCCGCAGAACCCCCTTCCCCTCCCCCTGCATCCTGTGTCCCCTATGCCCCACATCTCCTTGTCTCCCCATGACACCCCAATACACACATGCCCCTGCAGCCCTGCACCCCACAGCCTCCTGCTGCCCTGATCTGCCACCCCCCACAGCCCCTTTCCCCCGGTCCCTGCCCCGCTCACCCGCCGCCACGCCGGGGATTGTGATGTGTGTCTGCTTCATGCCCCTCGCGCCTTGGAACGTGCAGCTGAAAGTGTCTTCTTCGCGCGGGGTCTGGATGGTGAGGACCGACGTGAGCCGCCGCCTGCCCAGCCCGAGGTCGCGCCGCCACGTCACCATGTGGTGCTGCTCCGGCTTCAGTACGAGCAGATTCAGCTCCCCGGGCTGCCCAGGCCCCAGCTCCTTCCCCTGGCGCTTGCTCGTCCAGGTCAGGCTGTCTGTGTCGCGGAGCCTCCCCTCCACCTCGCAGAGCAGCGCTGTCATGCTGCCCTCCGGCCAACACTCCCAGACACGGATCGGGGACACTGCGGGGAGATGAGAGCGTCAGGCTGGGTGGGGGCAGCTGTGGGGCTGGGGGAGAGGGACGGTGTGGGGGAGGGGAGGTCGTGGGGGGTGGGGGCGGCTGAGTCGGAGGGAGAAGGTCGCGGGGGGGGG